CAAAGACATAGGCAGAGGGAGAAGCAGGCTCCATGCAGGGAGCCCTATATAGGACTGAATCCCAGGACTCCAAGATCATGCCCTGAGCCAAAGGCAGACGCTTAACTGCTGAGCCACCCAGGCGTCCCAAGTCAAGGGTCTTCTTCCAGCAGTTATCCTGTTTCCCTTGAGTATCATCAATTTCTCCTTCTCTACTGAATCTTTCTAGGCTAAATACAAAGATGTCTCGATATCACCAATCAAAAAACAAAAACTAAACTAAGAATTAGTAGAGGAGGGCACCTGGGCGGCTCATGCAGCTGAGCGTCTGACTCTTGGTTTTGGCTCAGGTCATGACCTCAAGGTGATGAGATGGAGCCCCGCATTGGGCTGCACGCTCAGCAGGGAGTCTGCTTCCTCCTTCCCCTTCTGCACCTCCCCCCTCAAATCAGTTAATCAATCAATCAATCTAGAAGTGTTGGCAAGGATGCGGTGGGGGATGGGGGTGGAAACTAGAGGCCTCCTACATTGCTAGTGGGGATGTCAACTGCTTCAGCCACCGTGAGAAACGGTTTGATGATTTGTCAGAGAGCACACATAGAATTACTCTGTGACCCAGCAATATCATTCCTGGGTACATATGCAAGGGAATTGAAAGCAGGTGTTCAAACAGAACTTGTACGTGAATGCTCGAAGCAGTGCTATTTACAGTAGTTGCAATGTGGAAACAATCCCAACGTCCATTAGTTAATGAATGGACACACAGCTGTGATGTATCCACACATGGATTATTCATTCAAAAAGGAATGAAGTCCTGATACATGTTTACAGTGTGGAAGAACCTGGAAAACCCTTACGCTGAGGAGAAAAACCTAGACACAAACATTCACTGTTCATGATTCCATTTAAATGGAATGTGCAGAAGAGACAAATCCACAGACACTAAAGACAGGTCAGTGGTGGCCACGGTCTGGGGTAGGGGGCCAATGGGAAGCCAATATTTAATGGGCTTGTTTTTGGGAAGATGAAAATGTTTTGGAGCTAGGCAGAGGTGGTGGCTGCACAACACTGTGGATGTAGGAAATGGTTAATTTTATGTTCCCTGAAGTTCACTTCAATTAGAAAAAAAAAAACCTTCCTTTGACCCCATGACCCTCTGTTCTCACCCCATTTCCTTGCTCTTTGGCATAGCTAAAATGTCCCAGAGGATTCACCATCTCTACTCTGCGCTTCCTTAGTCTGCTCCAGCAGAGGCTTTGACCTGTCACACCGCTCAAGTTGTTCTCACTGAGGCCATCAATCTTCCAAAGTCCCTCATCAATCCCCTATGCCCTCTCAGCAGCTTTGATGAAGGTGACCATTCCTCTTCCTTCTGGGTCCTTCTAGAAACTTCCCTATCCTGTCTTCCCATCAACACACTGGCGTGGTTTTCCCTTAGCTACTTTTTCCTTAGTCTGCCCAGCTGCTCCTTCTTCCCTGAGAGACCGCCAATGGTGGAGCAGCCCAAGACCCAGCCTAATGGCCTCCTTTCTACTCTACCCTCTCACCCTGGGCAACCTCATCCAGACTCATCTGTCGCCTTCAACCCTTCCATATGCACACTGAACTTCCGACAGCCCTGCCCAGATCCCCTCTTTCGTCAGGCCTCTCCCTAGTCCAGCCTCCTCCCAGTCCCCAGGCCAAAAAGCAGACTCCTTCCTCCCTCTAAATCCCCTCCTGGTGCCTGCCCGAATCCCAGCAACTCTCGCCACCTGGGCTCTAGACTACAGCCTGGGCAGATAGCACAGCTGTCCCTGGGGCACCACCTGCCACAGCCTCCCGACAGCTGCCCGGCTCACCCCCCCTTCCGCAGATACTCTCCATGCAGTGGCGCAGAAGTGACTTCCTCTGCAAACACCCGGGGGTAGGACGGCTTCCCGTGGCTTTCCTCCAACAAGTCCTGGCTTGCTGTTCCCTGCACCCAGAGCCAGACCCTCCTCAGTCTACCAAGTGATACGAGAAGAGCAAGGGATTGCTTCCTCCCCAAATGGCTTCCGATCCTGGCTCTGCTGCCCACCAGCTGTGGGACTTGAGAAGGTCAGGAGGGGCCCCAGCGACAAGGTCCATGTCTGCCTCTCCAACTTTTCACTCTACTCTCTCCCTCGGCCTCCACATGGCCCTCACTGTGGCCTCCTCCCATCCTCCAAAACACCCAGGTTCTGCTGTCTTGGGGTCTGTTGACCGGCTGCTCCTTCTGGCCAGAGATCTGCCCCCAAACCTCTACAGGGTTGCTTCCCTCCTGTCCCGCAGGTCTTATCTTGCATGTCTCCTTAGGAAGGCTTTCTCGCATCACCCTGCCTAAACTGAACCCAGCCTGACCCCAAGTCTGCCTGTCCCTCCCACTCTCCCTCCCTTTCTGAGTCCTTCTCCATCTCCCTGTCCCCCTTTCTCCCTCCTTCCCTCTTTCTCTCTTACCTTTTATTTCCTTCAACCTATGTAATACCTGAAGTTCTCTTTTCTATTTGTTTTGGGGCTCCTGTCTTTTCTCCCCTGCAGAATGCAACTCCATGTGGCGGGGGGGCAGGTACCTTGTCTCTTATCACTGCTGTTGCCCCAGCGCCCAGAACAGAGTCCAGCACATGGTAGGCACTTAATGTATATTTGGTGATGAACTGATCAGAGAAGCCGCAGTGCCTGCTGAGCTCTCTCTTGCCCTGGGAAACCTCTGTCAAGAGTGTTTGGCCTAGACTGGCTGCGGGGGAGGGGGTCGCACCAGCACTGGGCCTGAGTTTGACACAGAGCGGCGAGCACCACCAAGGAAGCAAAGCATCGTCTAGCGGGAGCCTCGTGGCAATGGCACTCAGTGTCCAGCAGTGGGGGATCAGGGACCCCCTAACCAGGTTGTCCTCCTGCCTGCTCCCCATGTTTTCTGCGTATTTCCAGAACTCTCCATGAATGCCTATCACGTGTTTGCTTGGTTTCATTTCTGGGTCTGACAGGAGCCCTCATGGAACTGTTACTCTGACCTCTCAAGCCCTTAGGGAGAAGCATGATCAATGGTTTAATCACCATTTTAAGTAAGTTTGAAATACCAGCTTGTTATTAAAAAAGAAAAATAGTGGGGTGCTCCTGGGTGGCTCAGTTGGTTAGGCGTCTGCCTTTAGTTCAGGTCATGATCCCAGGATCCTGGGATCAAGTCCCACATCGGGCTCCCTGCTCAGCGGGGAGTCTGATTCTCCCTCTCCCTCTCCCTCTGTGCTCTCTCTCTCCCTCTCAAATAAATAAATAAAATCTTAAAAAAGAAGAAGAAGAAGAAGAAGAAGAAGAAGAAGAAGAAGAAGAAGAAGAAGAAGAAGAAGAAGAAGAAGAAGAAGAAAAAAGTGGAGTGGAACGTCCGAAGATTCAGATCCTCCTTCAGTTCATGGGTTTGGTTTAGGCTGGAAGAGAGAGGCTCTGACACCCACAGTGACCCAGCTTCCAACCCCAACTGCCACCAGCCAACCGTGTGAGCGTAAGGAATTCAGTTAACCTCCTTGAGCTGAGCTTCCTTGTCTGTATCATAAACACGACCACATGTCCCTCCGTGGGGATTAATGTGTGGACCTAATACTGCACACCTGGCAGAGACTGGTAAATTGTGCCTATTTTTAGCACTTAAAAGTCAACCACTTAATGAAATTCAGAGGGTCCAAGTAAATATTTATACTTAGCTGTTCATTCAGTTTCTCCCAGGTTCTTGTTCAACTTGACCAGAGTTGACAAACAAGAATGGAGCAGCCTCCGGCGGCCCGGAGCAGGACTGGGTGAATTTGTGATCTGCAGGGAGACTCGGCTTGTGGCCCGTAGATGTCAAAGGAAGGGCTGTGGGCCAGACGCCAGCTGGCTAGGATTTTCCCGAGACTTGGAAGCGCTCCTCCTCCGAGCTGCTGCTTGGTTCTCTCCTGCCTCCCTGGCCGCCTTCCATGCGTTCTTCTCTGGGGCCACGTCCTCCCTCTCGCCCTATTCTCTCTGCATTGGCTTCCTGGGCGGCTCTGGTCCCACCTGCATGCTGACGACTCCCACGATTAAATCCCAGCCCAGGTGTCCCACGTTCCTGGCCAGCCCACGTGACATGGACACTTACTTGGGTCCTAAACGGATCCTCAGAATTAAGGTGACCAAATGAAGCCGATGAAGTGGCCAGGTCAGTTCCTAGCCGAGCAAGCACTTGGAGGGGAGTCATGTGTCTGAGGCCAGGGCGGGCCCTGGCAGGGCCGTGACCAATCAGCACACCTGACTGGATAACCGTGATCTCGAACTCACAAGGTCCACAGCCGCCCCCCCCCCGCCCCCGCTCCCCCTCCAAACCAGCTCCTCCAAAGTCAGTCTTCCGATCCCTGTAAGGAACATCGCCATCCTACCTGCCGTCCACACCTCGCCTCCCGGATCCAGGATCTGACCGCCTCCCCCCATCGGTTCCTACTTCCCAGCCCTAGCCCAAGTTGTCTTGCCAGCTCTGGGAGGAGCCACTGCCAGGGCTCTCTGTCTGCTCTCCCTGCCACTCCCCCTGTCCCGGCCCCCCACTTCCCCACAGAGCAGCTATGTGCTCTTTATAATGTAGGCTGCATCTGGTCCCCCTGTGCTCAGAAAATGCCTCCCCCACCCCATAGCTGCTGACCCCCTTGGCTCAGGGTTACGTTCACAGGCCTTAGCAAGGGCTACGGCCTCTGACCCTGATGACTCATACCTGACCCTGTCCCCCTTTCCTTCCACCTACCTGTCCACTCTGGTCAACCGGCAACCTTGGTGCCTTCAAGTGGCTCTGCTCCACTCTTGGCTCAGAGCTTCTGCTCTTTCTGCCAGGAACACCCTCCCCCAGGTCTGTAAAGGACTCCTAACTTTCTTCCCTCTGGTCTCCACTCAAATAAGATCCATTGGGGAGCCCCCCTGCCCCCGATCACCTGATATGAAACCCAAGTTCATAATTCATCACCCTTGCATACCCTCCATCTATCCTGCCCTGGTTTTCTTTTGGCACCAGTCAGCATGTGCTGAATATTTACCTGGTTGTTGATCACCATCCTGCAGTAGAATGTGTAGCCCAGGCAGCTGGGAATAGGTCTTGGGCTGGTCACTCTCCTTGCCTCCCTGGCTCCAGTGTTCATGGTCTCTGTCCTGCTCTTGCCCTGGGAAGCCCGAAGGATGGCATTGGTCAACTTCCATGAAACTAGCTATCAGCCCTGGAAACCAAAGGATGGGAAGAAAAGGAGGTGGGAGCTTCTTCCCTGCTACTCCCTCCCCCACTGCCAATCTGGCAGCTCTGGCAATAGCTGAGGGGACGGGGTCCCCAAACACCAAACACACGTCCCTGCAGGGGGCCTTCCTCCACCCTTGCTTCTCAATGCCACTTCTTTGCCTTGCCCTCAGGGCCAGCGGCAATGGCTTATCGCTCTCTTGGGGATCCTGGCCATTCTACAGCTGTTCTTGTACCCCTACCCCCAGCTCTGTAAGTCACTTGAATTGTCTGGAGTGGGTTCGGTTTCCTCCTGAAACCCTACTCAGCCATCCAGTCACGTTTACCGCTATGCCTGGCACCTAGAATACAGCCTGAAATGTGGCGCCTGATAAATATCTTGCATTGATTAATTAGCTAATTAATTAATTAGCAGAAGAGTGAATGGGAAGAAATCAATATGCTACTTAAAGGAATGAATAGATCAAAGAATGGAGCAAGACAGTTTGTTTCTTTGAAGGAAAGGATGAATTAGGCTAACGAGCTAATTAGGCAACAGTTAAGGAAGCATAAAAAAATGAAGAGAATCTATGTGTTCTTTCGAATTGTACAGTTAGCAGAGTTCTGAATCTGGTTCCTGTGCTGGCTCTGATCTTGAAGGTTGCGATTACAGGCCTTCTTCCCAGCCAGACTGATGACCGTTTCTGAGATCCCCTTGACCTGGGAGCCCTGGCTGCTGGTCCCAGCTCCCTGGCCCCGCCGCACATCCTCTGAGCTGTGCATCGAGCATTCAGGCTCACCCCTCTGCCCAAAGCAGCACAGACTCCTTACTGCTCCAGGGAAGCCCCCAGGTTCCACGCCTCTGCACCAAGGAGGGGAAATGCCCAGTGGTTTCTGCAGCAAGAGGGGACCGTGCTCACCCAGCAGGAGCACCAGCTTGTGAGCTTCAACTCTGCCGGACTCCCCCTTCACCTCTCTTCCAGCCAGCAAGCAGTCCTTCCCTGGCTTGTGACAACGCTCAGGGTGGAGAACCAGCAGTGGACTTGGAGGGGACGCCCACAAGCACCTTAGCCCTCCGAGGTGGACCATTGCTTTCCTGGGTCTGCTGAAGCTTGGGCCCGAGAGAGGCGACGGGGAGAAAAAACACAGGACAGCACATCCAAGTGCCACGGGGCCAGGAGGGCTCTGGGAGCAGGGGGTGGACAGTCACCTGCAGCACTGCCCCCTTCCTTCTCTCTGTTCCCTGACACGCAGCTGCTGGAGGTGGCTGAGCAAGCAGAGGCACTTCCTCTGTGGGGTTGGGGTGAGGAGGCCAGTTCCTCTCACAAAGTGAGGGGAAGCCCAGTTCTCCCTCCAGGGAAGAGGAAAGCAGAGGAGCAAGGGAGGGGCAGAGCGGAGACCGGCACCCCAGTGGAAGGCGCTATGCCCCTGCTGGCTGCGCTGGGTCCCTCCGTTCCACCTATACGACCCCGAATGACCTCCTGAGGCTATAAATGTCCCCGAGGTGGTGTTTGGGGTGCATTCCAACCTGAGGAGCACCCACAGGCGAGGCTACGAGTGGAAATGTAGTCGCTGCATTTTGCCAAAAGCAAACCACTCTGGAAAAGAAATCCACCTGCTAATTCACTCATTTGGTCACTCACTTCCTCATTCATTTATTTGGGCAAGGCCTCCTGAGGTTATCCGAAGAGCCAGGCCCTTAGCTCGTTGCTGGAGGTCCAGACATGAACCAGATAAAGTCCTTCCTGAAAGGAGCTCACAGTCGTCGGAGGGAGACACACTCAGCAGTGAGGCACGTGCTCCTTCATCGCTGGGCGAGGCCTGGGAGAGCGCGAGCTGCAGTCCAGGCGCTGTTCCTGGCACTGGGAGTGGACCCATGAAATCCCGCAGACCAAACTTCTGTCCTCGTGGAGCTTACATTCGAGGGAGGGGAGGCAGACGGTAGATCACACGTGTAATTCAATGATAGTTTATTAGATTGGGATAGGTGCTGTGCAAAAAACACAAAGAAGGGGGCATAGAGGGCTGTGGGGTGGACATTGCAAATTTTTAAAATATGGTTCTAGAAGCCCTTACCCAGGAGGTCACATGTGAGCAAAGACACGAAGGAAGAGAGGGCTTATGCTGGGCGGGCGAGGTACAATAGCTAAAACGTGCGTTATGATGGCCATGCACACCAGAGGCTCACTCCCCAGAGGCACAGCTCTCTGTGTAGGAAGGAACGGAGTTTCCGGCAGGACAGCCCAGAGAGAAGGGCCAACAGGGAGAGGAGCTACCAGAGTGCAGCAAGTGGGTAGAAGCATGACAGATCTTTCCAGAGAGGAAAGCGGGACAAAAGATGGGCTGATCCAGTTGCTTGGATGAGATCCCTTTGGCACAGGGTTTACTGTGAGTGGTGGGATGGTGGTGGGACAGAGAGATCTAGGTGCTGACACTGGACCCCCTAAGTTCAAATCAGAGCTCCGCACTGTCTGTGACCTTGAGCAAGTCACTCAACCTCTGGAAGCCTCAGTTTTTTCCCTACCTATAAAATGGGAAGAATCCCGGAACTTACTCTGTAGGATCCAGTGACTTAGAACTGCATCTGTAAATGTAGTAGAACACTGAATTTGTGTTCCTCCAAAAAAGCATAAAGAGTGGACTGGAGTCAGGGACTGGTCCAGACTGGCAGCAGGGAGGCGCATCTACAGCTTGAGAACAAGAGCTTGCAAGGTCCTTGATCACACATGCCAGAGCGGGACGTCTGCAGGAAAGATGATTTATCCTTTCGTTCAGTACATGACTCCTAGGCACACTGGCTGTCTTCCAGGCAACGTGCTGGAGGTACAGATGTGGTTCTGCCCTCTTGGGCTTGCAGTCTGGGTAGGGGACAGAGATTTCAACACGCACCATCCATGGCAGGCTTGCAATAGAGTGCATGGGGTCAAGGGGCAAAGCTTCACCCTTGAGAAGCCTAGAACACCAGAGAAGGCAGTGACTGCAAAGTGCCAGTTACTGCTAACGTCTGGAGTTTCTCAAAAAAGTAGATTCCTGGCCCTGCCCCTGCCCCAGACCCACTGACTCCGAAAATCCAGAGGAAAGGTCTAATAAGCCATAGTTTTATGTTTTTACGTTTCGAAAAGATTTTATTTATTTATTTGAGAGAGAGAGAGAGAGAGAGAATATGCAGGAAGGGGAGGCAGAGGGAGAGGGAGAAGCAGGCCCCCAGCTGAGCGCGGAGGGCTCCAACCCAGGACCCTGGGATCATGACCTGAACTACAGATAGACACTTAACGGACTGAGCCACCCAGGTGCCCCATAAGCTATAATTTTAATAAGTGTCCCAAGTAATTCTAATTATCAGCAAGTTTGGCAAATACTGACCCGACACAATTCCCTCTTTTTCACAGATAGGAAATGTGCGGTCCAGAAACCTCCCCAAGGAGGCACGGCCAGTGTGGGCAGTTGAGGCAGGGCTGGAAATCAGAGCTCTCCGTTCCTTGACTTCATTCATCACCTCGCATTGTGTGATCCGGGGAGTTTCAAACAATAGAAACCTATTTTTTCCCAGTTCTAGAGGCTAGACATCTGAGACCAGGTGTGGCAGGGTTGTGCTGCCTTGAAAGCTCTAGGGGGGAAGCTGCTCCGCTTTCTCTTAGCTTCTGGTGTCACTGGCCACCCTTGGCGTTCCTTGGCACGCAGCCATACGGCAGCCTCCATGCATGTCCTCCCTTGGCCTTTCCCTGTGTGTCCTCTCCTTATAAAAACAGCAGTCATCTTGGATTAGGCCCCATCCTTCTCCAGGAAGACTTTATCTTAACCAGTTTACATCTGTGATGACCCTATTTCCAATTAAGTTCACATTCTGTGAAACTGGGGGTTAGGACTTCAACATGATTTTTGGGGGAGACACAGTTGAGCCCATACTCCCCCCACCCCCAAGCTTGGCAGCTCCCGGCACACAGTTCTGGACACACATGATTCTGGGAAGAGTCGAGGGCGCTGACACTAAAACGAAATGGACAAAACAGGAACTAATATGCTAAGAAATAACGAATGCATGATGACAGAACCACCCAGTGGAAAGGGAGGTGGAGTCATGGTGGACATTTCCCTCAGGGATGGTTTGCAGGCACTGTGGACTCCATTTCACTCTGGGTGTCTGGACATCTGGCTCCCATGGGCACTTTTCCCACTTGGGCTTATCTTTGCAGGAATGTGGCTGGGTGGCCCAGAAATGACCCCTCAAGCAAAGCTAGCATTAGCGATGCGAAAGGATGTCTTTGGCACCTACTGGACTTGGAGATGCTACTCCCCTGTGTCATAGGTGCTTTGTGGGGAACTGATGATATAATGCAAATTAAATAATAACTGGAAAAAATAATGTTTTTATAGAGCTCTGAAATTTATAGATTTATCACATTTATCATCAGAGGTAGTCCTCCCTAGAATTTTGTGGGGAGCCCACACATTATACTAACGACGAGAAGACCAAAGGGCAGAGAGGTAACCGGAGGTCGCACAAGGAGTTGTAAATGAGTCACAACTAGGACACTCCCTACTTCTCCCATGACAACAAAGCTCCCCATGGCTCTTCCCATCTGCAGTTCTCAAAGTCATCATAATTGGTCAACCAACCCACCCGTCCATCTAGCCATCCATCCACCCATCAGGAAGTATGTAAGTAAGTAAATTGTTACATTCAATAAGATTATTATTTACTCTGGTTACTAGTTTATATCATCTCATCTGTTTTCAAAGGCAACCCATGAAGCAGCCTTGGCAAGTACCACCCCCGAGGACAGAGGCTAGAATAAAATCAAGAGCTGCCACCAGGTAGGATTCTACTGGATGAGACCCCGAGAAGGGATGCTCAAAGGAACACCCGGCCCCATTACAGGTTACAACCCCCTCCCTGCATGGCTTCATCCTAGCCAAGAGAGCCCAGTACTTCCTGGAGAGCTCTCAAGCCAG